CGCACCGGCTCTGCCCTCAGGGCCGTCGCTGGTGACTGACTTGCCGAGTCACAGAACGTGACCGCCTGTCGACATTTCGAAGGCGCCTGTGAGCACGAAGAGCAATGGCTGCGCTTCCTTCTTTCTTTTTTAAACATCATCTGTGGACGTGGACGTCGCTGGCTTTTACTGAATATTTTCCAATGGTTTTTGGGGGAGTGGAAGGGAGGGGAGAGCGAGAATTCGTCCACTCTCACCCGCCCCTCGCCGCCGCTGCTGTCAGCCGCACTTCCTCTCGCCTCGCCCCCCACGCGGAACCATCTTGGTGGCTGTGAGGAGACGGTCATGCTCGGGGGTAATTTGGTGTATTTTCACCTTATTCCTAGTCCGGAGCTGGGAGCACCTGCACGCATCGAAAAGGGAAATAAATACCGGGAGTTGGACGTGAGCACGGATTGGCCGGGACCGCGGAAGCTGGGGCGAGAAGTCGTGCCCCGACCACGCGTGTCTTGTGGTTTCTTTTCTGTGAACAGCTCAGCCTGAAGTTTTGCTAAAGTCACAGGTTCCATGTATTGATTTTTCCGTGTTAATCCAGCTGTTCGTACATAGAAGGAGGTTAAATTAGTAGGAAAAGTCTTGTTCTACAACTTGATTTTGTTAAGTTGGGAGAGAGTTTCTGATATTTTTTCAGAAGCAGAATTAAAGTTTATAAATTATACGCATTGTTCCTCCTCACCCGAGGACTTTTCCCATTGATTTTTAGAGAGAGTGGTATTTATTTATTTATTTTTAATATATTTTTATTGATTTCAGAAAGAGGAAGAGAGAGGCAGGGAGAGGGAGAGAGAAACATCCATGATGAGAGAGAGTCATGGATCGGCTGCCTCCTGCACACCCCACACTGGGGATGGAGCCCGCAACCTGGGCAGGTGCCCTGACGGGAATTGAACCCTGACCTCCTGGTTCATAGGTTGATGGTCAACCACTGAGCCACACTGGCCAGGCTGTTCAAAAACTTAAAAAACGTCTTTACACATGGATGTAGATATCACCCTTCCAGGAGGAAGTTTCCCAAAGATACGTTACTCTAAGTTTAGAAACGAAGCTCCGTGAGGAGTTGGCATTGGCCGCTGTCCCTCCGGCCCCTGGTCACGGCACATTGTACCGAACGACCTATGTGAATACTTACTTCCCGCGGCAGCAGCTCCGTGACGATAAGGGTAACGGCGAGTTCATGGTCAGCGGTGAGTGGTCGCCCGTCGCGCCTCCCGGCCACATGCGACGAGTCACGTGACGAAGGCCCCACAGTGCAGCGTCCCTTACGATGAGGACAAGAGGCCCAGCAAACCGTCCATCTATTGGGGATGCATCTACTCCTGAGCGGTCACGGCCAAAGTTACATTGAAGACAAATCGCCGGTGGATAAAATCTTACGCCGAACAGGCGTGAGACGGCGGGTGGCGGTGAGCCGGAAGGAGATGGTGGAGACGTCGACGCTGTAACTCAGGCGGCTTATTTTTCCTAATTCTCCGCGGTTCCCAATTAAACTGTAATGAACGTGTTTGCGTTGTTTAGGGAGGGAAAGGATAAATTGCTGTTTTAAAAGTAAGTAGCAATTAATGCCTTTTTCCTATTTGCTCTTTAAATACTGTATATGACAAACCGGTTAGAGGATCGGCCTCTATAATTAAAACGCAGCGCTGTTCGTATACGCGAATGTCGGAGACGTGAGTAATTTGCTTCATTAACTGGGGAATTTAACATATGGTGCAACTTTGTTAGGGTAACCATAGAGAAAGTAAAATATGAAATACTTTCCACTCTAGTGAAGGGGCTAGAGAGATACATGTAAGAAAAGCGGTGGGCACACTAATATTGCGATTTAGAACGAGTAGAGGGATCCCGGTGAAGGGATCGGCCTCTATAATTAAAACGCAGCGCTGTTCGTATACGCGAATGTCGGAGACGTGAGTAATTTGCTTCATTAACTGGGGAATTTAACATATGGTGCAACTTTGTTAGGGTAACCATAGAGAAAGTAAAATATGAAATACTTTCCACTCTAGAGAGATACATGTAAGAAAAGCGGTGGGCATATTAATATTGTGATTTAGAACGAGTAGAGGGATCCTGGTGAAGATATTTTTTAATATATATATTTTATTGATTTCAGAGAGGAAGGGAGAGAGAGAGATAGAAACATCAATGACGAGAACCATTGATCGGCTGCCTCCTGCACGCCCCACACTTGGGGGATCGAGCCCGCGACCCGGGCATGTGCTCTTGGCCAGAATCGAACCTGGGACCCTTTAGTCCGCAGGCCGACGCTCTATCCACTGAGCCACACCGGCCAGGGCCATCCTTGTGAAGATTTAAGGATAGAATGCCCAGGAGGGAAGCATGGGACTTGGTGGCCATGACCCTAGTTTTTGTTTTGATTTAATCTCTGTTGAACCTAGAGAAGATGCGGAGGACTTATTTATAACATGTTTTCATGACAGGACGTGTCCTTTGTATTTTCTGCAGTTTCTCTAGACACTTACGGCACGTTAAGGCCACTTGTGACTTTCACAGCATCTGAGATGTGTTCCTCCGAGAAGGAATGTTGACACAAAGATGTCATAACATTTTAAAATCAGCGTTCGCCCTGGCCGTGTAGCACAGTGGTTAGCGTGTTGGCCCTCGGACTGAAGGGTCACGGGTTCGATTCCGGTCGAGGGCACGTACCTGGGCTGCAGGTTTGACGCTGGCCCCGGTCAGGGTGCACGTGGGAGGCAACCAACTGGCGTATCTCTCTCACATCAATATTTCACTCTTACGGCACGTTAAGGCCACTTGTGACTTTCACAGCATCTGAGATGTGTTCCTCCGAGAAGGAATGTTGACACAAAGATGTCATAACATTTTAAAACCAGCGTTCGCCCTGGCCGTGTAGCACAGTGGTTAGCGTGTTGGCCCTTGGACTGAAGGGTCATGGGTTCGATTCCGGTCGAGGGCACGTACCTGGGTTGCAGGTTTGACGCCGGCCCCGGTCAGGGTGCACGTGGGAGGCAACCAATTGGTGTATCTCTCACATCAATATTTCACTCCTCTCTCTCTCCTCGCCTCCTTCCCTTCCACTCTCTCTAAAAATCAATGGAAAAAATAAATATCTTGGCTGAGGATGAACAACACCAGCAAACAAAAATGATCAGCTTTCAAAACGAGCTTGGTGTTCTTGTCCGTTTCCAGCTCGAATGCCAGTGCAGCCGGTGGGCGTTAGTGTTTGGAGGGAGCGGCTTTGTCCCTCGGAGGTTTGCAGCTCTGTACGCAGGGCTCATCTTATGAAAAAACGGCTTCCATTAGCTTTGCTTCCTTCGGGGATTTCTCAGCTTTGCAATGCGGAGCCCAGTTTGACCTACAAACCGGGTGAATGAAGATACGCAACAACCTCCGTGTGCGGAGCAGCGTTGGGGGTTCAGGGATGGGGGGTGGCCCAGGCCAGTGCCCAGGTGGCCATGGGAACCTGGGAGCCCGAATGCCCGGGAAAGTGACGGCAGCAGCGAGGGTCCTGCCCCAAGAACGGGTCACGGTGAACCCCAAACCCCACCCCTGCTGGTGCCACGGCCTGGCCCCCTGCGTGCTGTTGGCCTGGGAAGGAAACAAGTTTTCTTCAGGAAAAACAGCACCTAGAGCAGCGGTTCTCCACCTTCCTGATGCCGCGACCCTTTAATACAGTTCCTCATGCTGTGGTGACCCCCAACCATAACATTATTTTCGTTGCTACTTCATAACTGTCGGAGCAGCGTTGGGGGTTCAGGGATGGGGGGCGGTGGGGCCCAGGCCAGTGCCCAGGTGGCCGTGGGAACCTGGGAGCCCAAATGCCCGGGAAAGTGACAGCAGCAGCGAGGGTCCTGCCCCAAGAACGGGTCACGGTGAACCCCAAACCCCACCCCCGCTGGGGCCACGGCCTGGCCCCCTGCGTGCTGTTGGCCTGGGAAGGAAACAAGTTTTCTTCAGGAAAAACAGCACCTAGAGCCTTTACTGTGTTTCAAACACAGTATCCGAGACGCAGAGAATTAACTGCAGAGTGACCAAAGGACCAGACCAAGCACCGAAAACAGAGACACAGACCCCGGAAACCCGCAGAGCCATGGAGACAGAGGAGGGCGTTCTAGAAAGAGCCTTTAACGTACGCGGCACGTATGGAGACGAGACAGAAACGA